GGTTGCTGATGTTGCCCTTGCCGTTTCAGTTTCAGTTGCAGTTGCAGTTGCGGCTTTTGCTGCTGCATTTGTTGTTGCTCTTGGTTACCGATGTTGCAACTGTTGCTGCTGTTGCTGCTGTCGCTGATGTTGCTCCTTTGGTTTAGGCCGAGATTGCTGGTGTTGCAGCTGCTGCTGCCACAAGTTTACGCGGACTTCCGACTTTTACGATTTGCCACATTCCAAAATATTTTGTAAGACAGCTTTGAATTTCTTCTGCTCAAATGTACTTAGTGCCTTTTGCTCTCGTGATATTTTGTTTGGCTTTAATCGAATGCTTCTAGCTTTGCAAACTCAAACTTAAAGCCAGATTTTGTCTGCAGTTTCAACAATGACATTGATGCTGAATTGCTGCACCAGCTACTTGTTTGATTTGTTGGTTTATTTTCATTAATCTAGTGGCTTTTTGCTGCTGCGGATGCCGCTGTTGTTTTTCCAGTGCCTCTGATGGCTGTGTTATCGCTGATGTTGCTGCTGCTATTGTAGCTGCAATTCGTTTTGCTGTTGGACACAGCAGTTTTACAATTGCTGCCGTGCAGCAGCATTTTCAGGTGTTTAATAGTTGTCGAGTTCATTTGCAATATGCCTGGCGGGGGGAAATGGTCGGCAGGGGGCGGGTGCATTAGGGGCGTGGTGGGCGGCGAGTCAGGTGAAAAATGGGAAATTCAGGACGGGGCTAGCATTGTTTCTTTAATAGGCCGCTGGCCATGTGGCTGCGCGGTTCACCTGCACTTCAGTGCACTGCAATAAAATATAGTTACTATACAGCAGTTCAATATAGCAAGTTCTTCTGAAAGTGAACTTGAACCCCTTTTAATATATGCTTAAAATATTTCATACACTGAAGTGATCCTGAACCTTTGAAGTGGAAAAAAAATACTAGAAATTTGATTGCATAGTTTGTCAGTACTAACTGACTATACTGATTAAATATAAGCTTAATTAAGTATTACAAACACTGGGCATTCGTTTCACTCTTCTACGTTTTTGCTAAATTTACAAGAGCTGAACTATGTTGATGCGCTTTTCCCAGTGTACTTGTATCCTGAATTCCTGGCTGCCTGCCTGAATTGCCATCGACAGATGCCCATTGCATTCATTGCACAAGCTCTCCGTAAAGCAGTCATTGTCCTTAATGTGCTAAGGAGTATGTGTGTGTGAGTGTGTGTGTGTGCGTGACTGTGTGTGTGTGTAGGCAGGATTGCAGGCAGTATTGTCCTTTTTGGCTTTTGCGGCTTTCGTTTTTCTCATTCGACAAACTTTTGCATAGATAGACTGAGTCGAGTTTACCAATTATCAAAAATATAATTTTAATTATACATTCTGAATTTGTGTGGCCCCATGAAATTGCAAACTTTCTCGCTCAAAACCCCCGAGACAATTTTCCTTTAAATAAGAAAAACTTTTGCAGACCAAATCGTTGAAAATTTGTGTTTGTTTGTTTGCCTAGCTTCGATTGAAGCCCGTGATTCAATCGGTTTGTGGACTTTGTAGTACTTAAACTCTTATAGAAAACTTACTAACAGCCATTGAGATGGTGTCATTGATATTAAGTGACTCCTACAATGTCTACAATTAAATAAGAAAGCTATATAAGAATGCAGGTTGCTTTGCATAATTAAATTGCATAAGAATTATTTAGCTTGTAACTGTTGTAAATGCGTTTATCGGAAGCCCGTATTACCATTTTTTCACATTCATTACTCATAGCTTTACACATTCAAGATTATCGAATACATGGACAATGAACTAATTAACCTTTCGATTTGTTAAGGACATAATGTTCATAATTCATTTAAAAGGCAACAGTGCCATTAATTGCACATTTAATGCAAATGAACTTTAAAACAAAGAACATGGAAACCATCGCAACCCATCCATGAATACAGTCTTGGAATCTGGCAAACAGACTCGTTTATCGTCACCGATATGCTTGCAGCTACCCAAAGTTATGGGAATTGGACTGGACCGAGATATATAGGTGGATATCAGTGGACTGAGCTTGCATAACTATGGCCCAACTCGTTGATTATGTAATTAAGGACTTTGAGTTTGTGTGTGCCTTGGCTTTTGCGTTTGCGTTTGCCAGTGTCCTTAGATCCTTGGAAATGGCTGATTAATAATTGCATTGGTCGATTGACTCTTAATAGCGTTGATTGCGAATAAATTTACGGGCCAGGCGGGAAAACAACATTCTTTTGCTCGCTTCGTCCTTTGGGTGCGGTTCCTGGGACCTTTCGCATATCCTTGTCATTACGGTCATGACTCGTACATTGCTGCTAATCACACTCGAAGGCATTACACACATTGGATTCGAAAGGCAAATAATACTGGTAACGCACAGAAGTCGGTTGATGGGCGGATTGAGTGGGTGGCAAATACTCCGCCAAATTATTCCTTACTGAGGCAACAGGCAGCTGCTGCCGGCATTGTTGTTTTCGTTTGTGGGTGTTGCTGTGTGTGTGTGGGTGCTGGTGCCACTCTTGTTCGCATCTTACTCATTTGGTTGTAACTCTGGCAACCTTTGACCGCCTTTCGCCGTTGTTGTTGCTGCCCTGTGGCCTGTGGAAGCGGCAAAATAGCAAAATAGAACAGCAAGTTGAAGCAATGGAACGTCTCGACCCCACATCCCTTCCATCCTGCGCATTCAAGCCATCCTACCCATATCCTGTGGCCTCGCACAATGCGGCTTTTGGTCTCAGTTGTCCTAGGTCCTTCTCTGCTTTCTCCTTTCGCCTTTCTCCTTGGTCCTTAGCGCCAGCTCCTGATGCAAAAACGCAGCCATGGCGCTGCTTTTTGTCCCTTTGCTTCGCAGGCAACACTTTTTTACGCCGGAATTTCAAGCTGGCAGACTCAAAGGATACTCTTTGGGTAAGGTTAATTGGGTATTAATGTGATTACATCGATTTTTGGTCACAGGTGACGGTTTGTAGTGGTTTGCATTCGAAGTTTACTGCAGTTTGTATTCTAAGCTTATGATAGCTAATTAAAATAGTAAGAAACTTTTCTTTTGGCTTGCTTTTCGCTTAAAACGTATTCAGATGTCCATATAAGCGCAACTGAAAGCTACAGTTGCAAATTGTGCTAGTAATATTTAATGGTAATTATGTAATATGACTGGTTACAATTTAATGCAATTTTTTATAACTGCTTTCTAGGCATCCGTCTAATAATTCATTTACTTGAAGGCAGTCCCTTGAATGGCATGGATTTTGAAGGTAATTAATTTTTAAGAGTATTAAATGAAAGGGTTTTACTTTAATTTGATGTATTTAATGCGTCCTGTCATAGCAACGCCTCAAAAGCTTATATAAAGGCAATTAAGACTGTCTCGAGAAACTTCACGTAATTTGAGGGATCTCAAGTTATTAAAAAATGTATTAATGAAGGGAATATAGTTTTAAAGGGACCCCAGAATTCGTTTTTTCGCACATTTTGCTGAATGTATGCAAACGAATCGCAAAAGAAATATGATGTTTCGCTTGAGGCTTTAAGAAAACCACATTCACAACAGTTTCCACAGTCTGTGATCCAGGAATGTCATTTGACATTTCACCAGCAAATAAAGAATAACAACAAAAATATAAAGAAAGAAAAATATAACCAGCGTAAATAAAATAAAATATTTTGCAAAGAAGCCGAACAAAAAATGAAGACAGACTTTGTTGTCCTTGTCAGCCTGGCTACAACTTCCTTGGCCCAGGACGACGTCGGAAGTGCCAGCGGAAATGAGTAAAAACCTACAACTCACTCAAAATTCCCGCTCACTCGCCTCACTCGCACTCGCGTGTACAGGGTAATTCCACTTCGAGTGAAACTCAGGCCGCACACGAACCCACTTCGGCTGCCCTCGGCCATCGCCTCGTGTTTCCACTCACTCGACATTGAGTCTTTGTGGAGCATCCCCAGTGATGCGAAATGTTTGGGGGGAAAAAGGCTGAAAATAATTATTTTTTAATTTCGTCGAGCGTTCTGGTAAAACGTTAAGATAAAACGGGTTTTAAAATATATTGCACTATTTTAGACATATCAAAATGTTGATATTAAAATGAGCTTGACAGTAGATGACAAATAAATGTTGAATGCATCTGGATATCGAGCAGTGAACAAATTTCGCAATCATTAATTTTTACATGGATGTGTGTGGGGTAGCATAAAAACATGGATCAGTTGGAGTCCTCATATTCGGGACTCAAATTTGATGATTCCAAAAATTCAACTAATGAGAAGCATTTTAGTATAGAAAAAAGGTAGCTGCGCTCTGTTATAAATACCACTGCTTTATAGATAGGGTAGAAAAAATAGATGAGGATAATTTTTCAACACAAGTCTATCTTATGGTTTCCTCTTTACAATAACCTTTTTGAATGGAAAGTTTAACCTTTAACTGGCTTTATTTTCACACATTTTATGTTAGCACACAGATCGGAAAAATAATGAGTTTACAATTTCCAAATTGAGTTTTTAGGTAAACAATTTTAAAACCTAGGAAATTCATAAAAATGCTTGGATACTTGCAAGTATCTTTGGTAGTACTGTACTTTTAATAATAGACAATTTCAAGTGATACAGATAAGGGAAGAATTTACTTTAGATAAGTAGAATTAAATTAGTTTTTTGTTGTTTGGTAAAGCTAATGGGGTAATTGATGTTTGGAAAGCTAATATAGAACGTTGTTCATTCTGTACTATTATCATTCTGTATTAATATTACCAATTTGAGTTTGGATTCTGTTTGGCAAATTGATTTTTAAAGAGGAAGAAGAAGTAGTAGCGTTGGGGGAACCAGTAGTATATCATGTGGCATGATAAATTCAGAATACAAACACAATCCCCTTTGGCAGATAGAAAGGAATAAGTTAGTTTCGTTTAGTGCGCGAGCAGCAGCCGGAAAAACTAGCCAGATTTGTCGGGAAAGCCAGCTGAGTGGGCAGCACTGGCGGGGCGACAGCAGCAGTGGCAGCATCCGCCGTGGCAGCGGCAACAGTCGAGCGGCAGACTCGATGCAGCAGAGCCACAAATTGCGGCATTACGTATACGCCCAGTCTACGTCGAGTTGGCCACGTGTACGGACACGCGGCGCGGTTCGCTTTTCCCGGTGGCAGCACATTCGATACCAACGTTTCACTACCAAAAACTTCGCGATTTGGTGCTAATAGAAAAACAGCAGAGATACGATTTTCAAATCTTAAGGTTTTGATTTGCTCAAGAGAAATACCTATTTTTTTGTTTGATTTTTTGTGTGACAGTGTATGTGAGCAAGTGTGTGTGTGTGAAAAGCTTGCCGGCTTGAAAAATGCGCGCCAAAAATTGAGAAATTTTCGCAGAGCGCAGCGGCTACATAAACAAATTAATACAACATTTTGCAACGCAGCGAAAGGAGACAACACACAAATAGTAATATATACATACTCGTAAATATATATATTTAAATTAAACGTATGCACAACTAGAGCTTTGCAAAGTAAACAAATTGTATTTCCGTGTTTTCTTGCAATAACAAAGGTATTTGCCGATATTGAACAATTAATTAGTGGGCTAGTAACCATTTTAAGTTGCAAAGGATAACAATTTGTATTAAAAATACATCATAGAACAAATACGTTTTATTTAGCATAATAGGCAATGGATAAGTTTGCAAACGTATTAATCAAATCAGGGTATTATGACTGTGGTAGCTGAATAAAATTTGCATAAATCAAGTTTCAATGAACATGGGGCATTTTAGTCTCTTTTAGGCTGTAGTTGTAAAAGTTATTTCTGTTTTAGCCAAAAACCAGAATGGAAAGGAAGAGGCAAAAAGTGGATTTGTTTTAAAAATTCCTTTGATCAGAAGGTGTTTGTTCTGCGGACTCTGAAGCAATTTAAAATAATCTCTTGTAATTTCATAGTAAGTGATTATTAAATATATCTTTTGTTCCTTTATTGGTGTTTTCAAGTAATACGAATTTATGTTTCTTCGGAAATATTTACTTATATTTGTTAGTTAGTTTCTAATATGTCTAAAAGTTTTGCATAGAATATATTAACGATGGGACATTTTGAAACGTTTAAAAAGTGATAGTTCTTACTTCATTTTGTTCCCCTATTTATCATTCTCATATGTATAAGCAATACGTGTATGTTGGGATTTCGAATGAATGCTTAATTTAAATTATTCTGTCGTATTCGTTTGGAAACTTCGACCGTATTTTCTGTGTATCCCGTATAGATAAGTTTGGGGCCACTTAGCGAATTGGCGGACATATTTTTAGACATAGCCCAAATAGTAAAAAACAAGAGCAGAATGAGTGAAAGAAGAGGAAAAATTGTATGAAAACCGACGACAAGAACGCAGAGGCTATAGAGAATTGGGAAAAAATGAGAGAAATTCATTAATAACAGACAGCAAGAAAAACAAGAGCAAAAATTAAACGGCTGCCATCAGGCTTTCCCCTTCTCTCACCAATTTTCCCTTCCGCTTTTCCCGCTTTTCCTTGTCCGGCACAGCTGTGATCACACGAAGAGGAAATAAAAAACAGGAGAAAATTGGGGGAAAAAGAAATGAAAATGAAAATTATTACATATGCGTAATGGGTATTTTGTGTTGTTGCTGCTGATATTGAAAAAGATTTTCGCAGCTACCACTACAACAATTCTGATAGCGGCAACTTTGACGAAGGTTTTTCTTCGGCTTTTCTTTAAATACCCTCGCAGATACACAGTGTGGCGGTATGAATGGTTTATGATGAACTATGAAAAATAGAGCGAAGTAAAAATGTTATACCACACAACAAAAGTAGATAAATTAGTTTAAAAACATGAATAAAATGCTTGTATATTATTTGAATATATTGATTAATATCTATGTACATATAAAGTGTAACTAGCTGCTGTTAATTGCCCACTAACGTGATTTCCCTGCGTTTTCTCGATTTTGTCGCTATCTCAATGAATTCACTAGACTTCCAATCGCCCCATCTCTTTCATGCGTTGTGCAGCCGTCTCTCTCTCTCTATTGGTGGCTGACAAAGTTTTGCATTATGTTCATCTCGTCTGGCGTCTTCTATATCCCATTCCCACATATGTGGCTCAAGGCTATCTTATACACGCACTTTCAGCGCCCTCGTCGATTTCTTAGTTCAGCTTCTCATTTTCCATTCAGTTTTGTTGCTCCCATTTTGGTTTTCTTAAATTTTTTCAGCATGCTGCCCTCATAAATTTGGGCGAGGCAAACATTTTTGTGGTACACTTTTTTTACGAGGGTTTCGTTTTGGGCAACTCCTATGGTAATTAATGGCATGTTGACCATCTGATAAAATATGGATAAGCATTATTTTTGCATTTTAAAGACTAAAATAAAATATATGTAACTTTTCAAGAGGACAAAATTCTTATCCCCAACATATTGTTTTAATAATTCAAATCAATATTTATTGATCTATATTCAAATCAATATTTATTGGCAATATTTATCTGTACACCTTTTTTTACTTAATGTTATTATAAGTTCTTTCGATTTTCGCCATTGGCTTTAATTGAGCCATTTTATTTTCTTAGCCTGCATGTAATTTCCCTCTAGTTTTCCCACATTTGAGTGTATTTAGTTTTATCTCTCTGCAGATTTGCGGAGATTAGATTTTTTCAATGCTGGGAACCATTTATTTCAATAAAATGAAGCCAAAAGTTTTCGTTGTTAAGCCCAAACTTCCTTTTGCGATTTTCCCGCTTTTGGTTAGCTTAACGGCATTCCGCCTCCTTTGACCACCCATTTCTTTTGTGTCGAGAGCAACAGGTCCTCTCATTTGCTGGGATTTCTTCTTATTTATTATTTGTGTCTCTCCGCAGTATTTCCATTTCTTTCCCGTATTATTTTTGGCCGTGGAAACGACCAGCTAAAGCCTTTTTGCATTGTCCGGAATTTTCCCAGCGATTTGCCGTGGAATGTGAAACTAATTGCAGCTGGATGGAAAGCTTGGGTGGATGGAAAACGCAATGGCATACAACTAATCAGAACGGAAAAAGAGCAGAAAAGCCTGGAATTGGGTATGGGAATGGGCCATGAATGTTTTCTTTTTTTCGGTCTGCGGGAAAAGCCAAAAGAAAAACGATTTCAATAAATGTCATAAATTTGGCCGACAACTTTACAAAGGGGCGGAGGAAGTGGAAAAGCAAAGGAAATGGCTTTTCCACAAAACCAACCCGCCTTTCCCCCTGATTATCGTCTGCTTTGCTGTCGGCGTGTAATCGCTTTCATTACAGCAGAAAAAGGGAGAAAAAGAAAACTGACCAAATACTGGTATAATAAAATAAAAAAAGAAGAAAAGCCAGTAGCGAAATGCAAAATGCCATGAAAATGGAAAACCAACATGGCCATTTCCACAAGGAAAGAGACGGCCAGATAAAGTACTGCTTTCACTTTTTGGCTTCTACTCGTTGGCAGTAATTTATTCGATTATTTTTTCGTATTTTTTTATTTATAATGATGCATTTAAACTGCTGTCCAGCAAAGAATAGATCTTTCAGAAGTATCTTAACCACTTTACAGCGGCATCGTTTGCATTTTTCTTATCTTTTGTGTATATGTTATTTATTTTTTTGTTACTTTGCGTCCACTGCAGAAATTTGGGCCACAACAAAGCCAAAGATGTAAAGTGAAAAATCTCATTTATATATATAGGTAAATGTTGTGTGTATCTGCACATTGCCATGGGAGCTGTCGGCTTATGACCTGATTGCGGTTATGCCTTCAGATCTTAAGTGAATGTTTCAGGAAATGAAAAACTATGGCACACAAAATCATTCTCAATGCCGCTTTCAAATGGTATTCCGAATCGGAGGAAATTTTTTTTAAATGTAATAATATCAGCTATATTGTGTCACTGAAATTTAGAATAGTTAGATAAAGATAGAACTGCATATTAAAAAAGGAAAGCCCAAAGCAGCGAACTGTTATTTTGATAGCCGAAAAGTTATGATCAATTAAAGTATTTTTGCAACGAGTTCCCCGAGGTAATCGTTCGACAAATAATACGACATCTGTCCCGCTGGGCAGCAACGTATTTAATTTTGGCAAATTTGCTAAATATATTCGCTCTATGATTTCATATCATGTTCGGTATTAAATGCACTCGTTTTTCACTACGCAAAGTGGCCATTATTTGCCTATGCTTTGTGTGCGGAAAATTCGACTATGAAATTCGCCAGACTGCATTGTCGACGGAAAATCATTGAAATCGTTGCGTTTTAAACAAAGTGTTATTCTTTTTGGTCTTATCAGGTGTATGTCTATGTGAATATGCATATGTGCATGTACCTACTTGGCCTGCGGGTTAAATTAGCGAATTTTCTAAGCAGACGGCAACATCGATGCTAAACAAATGAAAATCCATTACTAAACGTGGACTGCGCCGTCGACGGCGACTTTGACGTCAACCTTCGCAGCAAACTAAAAGAATTTGGTTCAAGTGCCAAATGAAATATTGACTAGGCAACGAGGACTGCGAAGATGAGACACGGAGACTCGGAGACTCGGAGACTCGGCGACTTTGAGACTCTGAGAATCTGAGAATCTGGGCATATGTGTCGGCGCGTGTGTGACCAACCAGCCAGCTCACCCATGCCACCCAAATCAAGCCAATCGCCAACGCATCTCGTGGATGCTCTAAAATAATTATACACATGGCAAATATTTATTTCTTATAGACTACGCGGTAGCGGGCGGGTCTATGTGTTCCTCGTCATTTGCATTTAATGGAAACATAAATATAATTAAGGTGTCTGGTGCGCAGATGCGGTTATTACTCGCAACATTTTATTTGTCCTTTCCAGGCGAAGCTGATTATTAAGGAATGCTTTGATTATCAACGTGGTTCGTCTATTTCGTTATGAAACCGCTTAAATTATGGAAGGTGTTTCTAATTTAAATAGCTTAATGTACTAAGCATTTTGGCCATATCAAATAATAAGAAGCACAATTATTACTTTCAAACAATAGCTGTAAGCAATAATTGCGAAAGTATTTTTATAATAATTGTAATATTAAATACTATTAATATTATTTATTATTATATTACTTGATATTATTGGGAGGGCATCGAAGTGGTCGTGTCAATGAATTTTTCAAGTTCGTCGCTTGTGCCGCCTGCGAGAGTTGTTGCTGCTGCGCCTGCTGCTGTTGCGCCTGATGTTGCTGCGTGTTGTGCTGCTGCTGTTAATGCTGCTGCTGCTGTAGTTGCGACAACTACATATAAAAACAGCTGTCATGGCCCTGCGACCGCTGCAGTCTCTGCTTTGCTCTTCGGTGTTTTGCAAGCGTTTCGCCATCTCTCTCTCACACGCTCTCGCTGTCTCTTTCCATCGGCCTCGTGGCGTCTGCTTCTTTCTAATAATAAATTGCCAAAGAATTCGTGTTGTTCGCCTGCAGCGGCAAACATGTCTGCTTTTTTATTTTATTTTTCCCTCGCCTTAAAGGTGCAATATCCAAGTCATTTTTCACTTTCGCTTTTTGGCCGTACTTACATGTACGTATGTAATTTTCCCGAGCTTTGCCGTTGTTTCTGCTTTTTTTTTGCTAGCGATAATCAGCTTTAACATGATGTGAATTTCTGAGCACTTGGGGAATTCTTGGTTGGCTATAAACTTGCATGCATATGTACATGGCGCATTGAAGACACCAAGGTTACCAACATACAGTGCCAGTCATTTTGTAAGGCAATGCGGTATTTTTCGAGTTTTTTGGTTGAATGTTTGGGAAATGAAAAATGTGGTTTTTGATGGAATTTTCTGCTTTGATATGTATTGCTTTCAGTTTATTCTTGACTTTATTTACATGGACTTTCATTTGGCTGAATTTCATCACCATGAAAGGGCACTTTTGCATAAATTGCGTTTATTCATTTGTTTGTTGAATCTCGAATTTTGATTTCAGTTAACACCTTTTGTTTTTAAGCTTGTGTGCATTTTCACATTTCTGTTAGTTGTGCATTGAAAAGCGTTTTAATTAAACTACTAACACATACATATGTATATGAGTGCTTTTATTAATAAATTTAATAAATTCGTAGAAAGTGCGCTCTCTTGAATTTTTCTTTCAAATATCATTTGGATTTTCGTCCGTGTACTTTTGCGGCTGACTGTGGAAATTCTTGGAAATTTATGCCGCCGAAAGTTTTCGTCATCCTCTTGATCGCGAATGCTCTTAATTGAATTCGTTTGCCTGCGCCGACGAAATAAATGTGGGGAAAATAAAATAAAATAATATTTGAAAATCCCATTCGCAAATTGTGCAAGTTGTTCGTGTTTGTTGCTGTTTTTGCCCTAATTGTTGTTGTTATTGCAGCGAAGGACAACGGTGGGAAAATGAACTGAGCTGCAGAAAGTTTTTCCCTTCCGTTGAGCGTTTTTCAATTGCTTCGAAAACTATTTTACTTACTCCCAACTTTCACTTGCCAGTGGTGGAGAACTTTCCACAGTAACTGTATGCCAGCGAGGGTATGTTGGGCACAATATTCGAGTGTAGCTCATACATATATGTAATAATATACAGCTCAGAATAATAGAACCCATGCACATTAGGAGATTCACATAAAATCATTAATGCATTATCTGCATATCGAAGCACTTACCATGCGCAAATTGCAGAATTAGAACGCTTTTGGAAATTTTAAGCTCGAGCTTTATACATTGGATGGCTTTGAAATGCAAGTCCCATTGTATTTATATTCCGCTCTATTATTTCGAGCACAGCTGTTCGAACTACGTATGTATGCATGTAAGTATGTATGCGATGCTTTGCACTGCGAGATATTAATTAATAATTGAAAAAGCGGAGCTCGTTATAAAGCGCGCCACTTTCGGGCCTCAAATGTCCTGGCACAAAAGGACTCCTAACCCCGTAACCACGCCCTGGGGGCATTCGTGTGTGTGTGCAGTTTCAAGTTTAATTTAAAGTTTAGTTGTAATTTTGAACATTTTTCGTTGCGCGGGCAATTAAAAATTCAACGCGCAATCTACAAAATGAACACCCCAAACGAGCCGTAAGCAGAAATGGAAGAAAAAAAGGAAAAAAACCGGCGGCGGCGGCTGAAAAAATGTGAAAAGTTTTTTTCCAGCCTGGAGGAGTCATTTGGCAGCTCTCCACGACTCTCTATTTATTTATTTATTTATGGGATCTGTCTTAATTCGCGCCACACAAATAAATGATGAACGTTTTCCGCTTAATTATTTGCAGAACAATCTCTAAGTGCATGGTCTGGATTCGCAAATCTAAGGACTGGCAAATTAAAAAAGAAATAACGCATGATTAACAAACGCTCCGCTGTTCGTCGACGGGATTTTTGCGGTAAGTGTTAAATATGCTTATTAATTAATGCCGCTAAATATCCGCAAAAATCCAAAATTGAGCGCCTAAAGCCGCAGTCATGTGAATAGCGAGGGTGTTTGATGTTTGCTTGTAAACCATTAATTAAGCGGCCACAAACAATTGTCCTTGTTAGCTTCACATTTAATGCGCAATTATTAATGAAATAAATTATCTAAAAAAAATATGCAATTACTGAAAGGAAAAAAATACGAGCTATTTAAAAACCATAACCATACGGATGTGATTGTTTTGAATTCACATATGCGAGCTAGCTTAAATGAAATTGCAAGTGTCTGAATTGTATTTAAATTTAAACTATGTAGTATTTATTTACAATTTGAATTGAAAGGATGCTTTTTCATTATTTCCAAATTAATTCACTATGTTTGCTGACATATTATGATTTTCCATATAGGTTTTTTTTGCTGACTAATTCACTTCACTAGTTGACTTCCTTGTATTGCATTTCATATTCAATTTCCTTTCTAAATTAGCTTTCGGGAGATACTTTTCATTTAATTGACGGAACACATTTCTCTACAATATATGATATCATGTTTGGTTTTAATTGTTTTACTTTGATCTATTATTGATATTTCTGCTTCAATTACTGTTGAATTTTATTTTATTTATTTTACTAAAAGTAAAATCGTTTGAATATTTGCTTCATGAATTGTTTCAAATTAAGTCTGGTATATACTTTGATATACCTTTATGAATTTGGTACTGCTTACTTCTTCAAGCTATTTTAATTTATTTGTGAAATCCTGGATTTAATATCAGTTTACAGCTTTTGTCAATTGACGATTTTCGAATCTGAATAAACGGCAAAATTTGCTGGATTTTTCTTGGCCAGGATGCAGCTATGAGAACTTGTTTCGTGTGGTTGTGTTGTATCTGTGTGTGGGCAACACGGCTATCTATGTTTGACCCTATGGATGTGTGCGTGTTTTCACAGCACGTGTGTGTGTGCGTGAGCGCGAATTCGAATGCGTTATATTCGCCCAACTGGGCAAAAACAATCCTCGCGCCACTTTGCGCCATAAAAAAGCGCGGAGATATTTAATACATATACACAGAGTGACATAGATATATGCACGTAAACGGCGAAAGCTGAGCGCACCGCAACCAAAAACCCATTCTTGCATTTAAAGTTTTGGGCATTTTATTGCCACGGCCCGTTTTGCGGGTAATGGCAAAAAGTATCCTTAGCCGAGGTCCTGCCATGTTGTTTCAATTTCGTCTCCCCAAATTTTTTGCGTCGCCTATTTTTTGGGCCGTATTTTCCTTCTTTTTTTGACGGTCGTCGAATGCCCCAGTGAAATATGATAAAAGTCAGACGCGACGCCACGTGGTGGCCACGTTGCGGCGCTTTGCGTTTTGATTTGTGTTGCTGACCTCCCAAAACAAAAAAAATAAAACCCAAAAATAATAATAATATTATACGTACAACGAAAGAAGAATATAATACATAAAAACACAGAGAACAGCTGCGAAAAAATTCAGTTTTTAAGTGCTCTGATTATATTCCTTGAACTTTAAACAAATTTTCCCTTGTGATTGCCCATGCATACTCGTAGTATGTAACTAAAGATTTCTTATTATTATTTTCGTAAGCTATACTTTTATGAAGACATTTGCGCAATTCACATTCACGGAAATGCGTATATCAATCTAAAGGAAAAGCTACAACAAGCCATGAATAACCATCAAGGACTATTTTCCCCTGGCTGATTTAGTGACTTGGGGAGATTTCCGCGAGATTTTCCGGCCCACTTGGGAACCACCAACGTAAAATATCAAGGATGCTTATCGACAAATAAATTCTTTGCCCTGTCAAATGCCCTGCACCAACACCAACACCAACACCAACACCAGCAGCACAGTCCGCAGTCCGCAGTCCGCAGTCCACAGTCGATGTGGGTGGCTCTGGCTCGGCGGTGGTATGTGGCAGGATATAATAAATAGCCTGACATAGTAATGCCACACAGACACTAACTCACAAATGTCGCACTGTTATTGCTGTAGTTGTTGGCCCTTCCAGTGCTCGACCGAAAAGTTGACGCCTATAAAACGGATATGGATGTGCACCAAACTGTGGCATACTTTTCTGCCACACCCCGGTGGCACTACCACCATTTACTTCCAATCCCACTTCAACTCCCACTCGATGTCGCTCCAAAAGTGTTGACAAATTTATGAGCTTGTTTTGCTTTTTCGCAATTTTTGTTTGGCTGATTGAAAGTTTTCTTTATTTCGCTGCCGGGCAAATTGATGACAATTGGAGAGCGGGCCAGACAGCTTAATCGTTCGTGTTCTATATTTAGCTACATATTAATAGAGGCTCTGATTGATTTCGAAAGTAAATCAATGGGCGTCGAAAGCTGTATAGTTCAAATTGATTAAAGTAACCCTGTGTTGGCAACATGCGGTCACATTGTTTCGCACGAACTGATGTACGAGTACAACTCAAATATGATTGCTCATTCTTATTTATTGTATAATCGGTGTTATATTGCATTATTGCTTTGGAATAGTTTACAATTAATTCACACTTGCTTTGCTATATTCTTTGAAATAGTGGAAAAAAAAATTCTGAAATGCCAATTTGCTTTGCTTGTGCGCATGGCCACACTGGCAGCTGCAACCTCAGTTGCGCATGGCGTCACAGTTTCCGACGAGACTGGCCAGTCGGCAGGCCTTCAGCTCGCGATCGAACCAGAAGCCGGTGGGGCAGTTCTGGCGCCTCGACCTCTGCCGGTTGCACACGTAGTAGCGGCGACAGTGACGCACGTCGGCGAGGAAGGTTCCGTCGTCTTGGCCACGGCAATCGTGGCGCGAGATCAGCACCTTAGCATTAATGGGAGCGGCAGGTTCGCTCGGTTTTTCATTCCCTTGGCTGTTATCTTCTTCTTTGTCCGCGCTTGGGGTCGTTAGACACGGTGGGGTGCAGGTTGTGGTGCAGGGTGGTGTGCAGGGTGGGGTACAGGTGGTGGTGCACGGAGGTGGTCTTCTGGTGCACGGGGGTGGAGCACATGTAGTGGTTCTGCACGGTGGTGGTGCACATGTAGTGGTTCTGCACGGTGGTGGTGGACATGTAGTGGTTCTGCACGGTGGTGGTGGACATGTAGTGGTTCTGCACGGTGGTGGTGGACATGTAGTGGTTCTGCACGGGGGAGGAGGTGGACATGTGGTTGTTATGCACGGAGGAGGAGGGGGACATGTGGTTGTTATGCACGGAGGAGGAGGGGGACATGTTGTTGTTATGCACGGTGGAGGTGGAGGTGGTGGGCATGTTGTTGTTGTGCACGGTGGAGGTGGTGGACATGTTGTTGTTGTGCACGGTGGAGGTGGTGGACATGTTGTTGTTGTGCACGGTGGAGGTGGTGGACATGTTGTTGTTGTGCACGGTGGAGGTGGAGGTGGTGGACATGTTGTTGTTGTGCACGGTGGAGGTGGAGGTGGAGGTGGTGGACATGTTGTTGTTGTGCACGGATCCGGGGGAGGAGTACATGGTGGGGTTTCGGCCCTGGGTGGCTGTGCCAGAGCCTCACGGCCGCCGGCGATGGCCGCCAAAGCTAATCCAATCAGCAGCAAGTGGTCTAGGATAAAGCACACAAAGAAAGGATACTCCTTGAGTTTTTTTATGGAGGAACTTGGATCGGAGCTACCCACAAACTCTCATGTTGCGTTCGATGATGCCTCTGCTACAGCAGTTTCAACTTCTCTGCTGGTTTGCGAATGTTGGTTGCTGCACTCGGGGCTCTTTTTATATCGCTCACCAGTCCCGATTTTATCTTGCTGGAAAACAGGGAAACCACTTGAGATCGGTTGAGTGGTACATGGTCCATGATCCCCGAGGTTCTCGGCACTCTGGTAATTAACCAAAATAGCTCTGCTTGTGGGTTTAAGGTGCCGTGCTTTGTTCATGTAAACGAAATGTTTTGTCGACCATTCAGTGCAATGTTTTCTACTTCGCAGTTGCACTTTTCTGCCTTAAAATGTGTAATATATTTCACTTATTCTTTGGAGAAAAACAATCATACTTAAATGTCGTCATTCAATATATTATTACATATTTATATATGTGTATACGAGTATATGTATTAGATTCAATGCCGATTTTCGAATGTTTACTCCAATGAACTCCATTCAAACCTACACTGATGGCATTGACATTTGGCCCGGTTCATTTGGCCATTCCGTACGCAATCTGTAAAATAGTTGAAATTGCCTGTTAACTGATTTCGCAGGGCCGGCCCCCCTTTTTTTTGCTTTTTGTTCTTTTTTTTTTGTTGGCAATTGCTTCTTGACTCCGGGCCAGTGCAAACAAGAGATTTCGGTTTATGGCCCGGACCGGAAGTGTTAGGCCAAGCGGCCAAGTGGCCAAGTGGCCATGTGGCCAAGAGCGGATGAGTGGACAAGTGTTGGCCATTTGGCAGTCGATAAAAATGGCAAAGAGCCTAAGGGGGCGTGTGTGTGTGGGTATGCGTAATAATTTCGCCATGAAAACCACCGCACCGCCACTTCCGCCCTTCGGAAACGCCACCTTTCCTGCAAAAAAAAAAAAAAAAAATAAAGGACCGCCATATCCCCGTGTGTCCCGCATGTCCTGGACAGCTGTGGGGGTGAACGGTTGGCAAAAGTTTTGTAATTAAATATGGTTGTTGCAGTTAAGATTTATGAGCGATTTTTATACCAAGCACCCAGTGATGGAGAAGTTTACTGGGCCAAACAAACAGGAATTCGCTTCGAATAAATTCAAATGAAGGATCTACTTGAATCTTCCCTTCGTGTAATTCCATATATGACTCTTATTTACATTCTATTATTATCAAGTTTTTTTCAAATTGATTCACTAATGAATCAAAGCAAAATATGTTTGGCATTTCTTTTTACAAAAATAGGGAATACCCATTTATGAAATTTGTTGTCCACCATTGTCATAATAACGATGTCTCAAATCTGGCCACAGTCAGCCATGTCCTGTGATATCCTCGATTTCAGCATCCAATCCTGTCCTATGAACCCGTGCACTGTGATCGTAAATAATTATTTATTTAAAGTGTAGAATATTTCCAAACGGCATAAGCAAACAGAATCAATTGTTGTCGCATGGCGAATATTTATGCACGTATTTATATTCCGACATCTGTTGGATATCGGAGGGGTGGCCTTTTCACACTCCCTTTTTTGTTTTACAATTTTTGAGTTGGGTACTGTTGAAGCTGCGAAATGATGCGCGTTGAGTTTTAATTTATATTCAAAGTGTGGAGTGTTTTTAAGCCCGCATAAGACCGAAAACTTTCAATCGTTATGCTCCAATTGGATTGATTTAATTCACTTTGTTTCAGCCACTTAGCACTCGTAAAGCTCCACCCTCGCCAACAAACACGACTTGGCCATTTGCCGGGCAAAATTACTCATACGCAGTGTGTGGTGTGAATATTAAAAAGCAGCAAAGTTTGTGATAAATCCGCCTCTCCTCGTCTGCCAGCGTGCTAAAGTGTTTATGTACACTTTTATATATTTATATAGATATATACACAAATATATACGAATATATATGCATAAGAAGTATATGCGAATAGTTGGCGAAACAATCTCAGATTATGAATGAACTTTGGCCAGTTGGTTTAGGCGGAGATATGCACAAAATAGTTGAGTTCTTCGAGATTATGAATGAATCACTTTGCGGCTAAAAAGTTGCCTGTGATTTAGGCGATAGTCGAGCAAACTTTCCAGACGAGAAAGTGGACCATTACCAGGGTCTTGAGATTATTCCACTCTTTTGTTCGCCCATAAACTTTAAATTGGCTCTAAGGCGTCTATAATAATTATACGTTCACTTAAGAGCTGCTGAGGCAAAAGTAAAAGTTTCATTCCGATTAAGAAAACGCTCAGCACTCTTTTTCCATAAAATGCCGCGAGTTGGGTAAAATTTACCAAATAAAGCGGATGCGATTGGCTCGATAAGTTTTTACCATTGTTTTTTATAATCCATTAGCAACAAAGAGACTTCATTTTCTGCCTCTACTACTGCATATCTTACCGAGTTACGTAGCAAATTGAGTTAAAAATATATGTTTTAAATATTATCCTGCACTCTTCCGGCATCTCGCACACACGGCCACCCAATTATTTACCCTGCTGCTAAAAGTGACAGCCTCACCTCGGCCTTTTGTCAGGTTCTCGAGTGGAACTTTCCAACTTATCTGTGACCGGCGACGACCATCTCAATGAATTAGTCGAGCAACATAAATTAAGCACTTAGCTGTTGTAAAGTTTTTCCTTAAGCGGAGGCAGCTTCCTCCGTAAAAGATGACCTCGCCCAGAAGAAGACAAACAGAGACACGGCTCAATGGAAATGGCCTTCTTTCTTCTCGCACTCGCACTCACACTCGCACTCACACTCATGCCCAACCACCAGACCGAGATGAAGAATGGGAAATTAAATTAAGCACACACACACACACACATGGCTGTTTGTCCAAGAAAGGATTGGATTTAAGGACTGTTTGTGCAAGGACATTGTATCAACAATTTCCAGGGCTCGAGAGTCTGTGCTACGGGGCATTGTAAAACTCATTAGTGAAGTGACCGGAAATCTTATGGAATCTACAAAAAAGTAAGAACATAGTAACAACGAAACCGAAAATAAAATACAAGCTAAAAGGCTTGATCACGCTGGAAAAAAAGGAAAATAATATGATTATTTACATATATAGGTTAGATGTCTAAAAATTCATGTTGAATGAGCTAGTGGATTGCCCATATAATTTATTCATTATACGAAAAGAAATTTAACGAAAAGTTAAACTTCTACCGAAATTGTTTCCAATTTCCATAATGTGTAGCATTATTCTGTAATATTTTACATAATGTTTTGGACTTTCCAAGGTGATCATGCTTAGTGAGCAAGCTCAAACTATTTTTTTCTCTCCGTGTGGACGAGGAGTCTTCAGGATGGTCGAGTGGGTGGTGGCCTGTGACAGGTTGGAGCAGTCATGCATGTACTTCAATTTTTCAGCAGAAATGAGTGCACATTTGACAAAACACACACTCGCTCACACCTTTCGGTGAGCCCAGGAGCCAGGAGGCGAATCCCTGCAGGACATATGTCCTGTTCCCAGTTCCCAGTCCCTTGCTCCGTGTTCCGCGTCTCCTGTCCCCTGTCCCCTGTCCCCCATCCACTTTACATCCTTTTTTATCAGCTGCCGCTCGGAGCGGGCCAAACTCCAGGCACGAAAATATATGAAAACTTTGCACAAATATGTCCTGTCTATGCCGTACGTGAGTGTGTGTGGTGTGTGTGTGTGTGCGTGCCGCTGCCAGTGTATGGGTGTGTCTATGGTAGCCTAATTCAAGCTCATATTTTATAACAGCAGCAGAATCACTGCATCGGACTACACGGTTTTCTGCCAAGACAGCAAAATAAACCAACAAACAGCGGTACAGAAAAAATAAAACTATGGAAGCTGCAAAAAATAAGCGTAGAGATCCGAAAAAAACCTGTAAACAAGACAGAGTTGGACAGGGAACAAACTGTGTGGGAACTACTCGTACGTGAGTGATGGGTATGTCGGGGGATTGACTGAGCCGAATGGGCTATAGGGGGTTAAGAACATTTACATAAATGAAGTGAGGCGTTTTCACTCAAGTAAAAGAAGTAGACGTGTTGGACAAACCAATGAATATCAATAGCTAAACTAACAACAAAGCCCTTTAAACATTGTTTTTAAATAAGAAAATTGCAATTATAGAATGGAAAGAAATGAAATAAAACATTTATTTAATAATCCGCTTGCATTAAATCATACTGAAATATTAACAGGGCACCAAATTTTCATTTAAATTGTATGCAATTTTAATTTTGTTTTATTCGGCCCAACCATTTGCTTTGAATCTATTATGCAAATGAAGGTTTTTTTTTGTACTAAGCTCTAACAATTAGTTGACAAAGTGCTGATACAATTGTATTGAAATAAAGCAGTGACATTAAGTAATATTAAATAAAAGCTCGTTCAACTAATGCTATTAATACTGAAAAAGGGGAAAAACACTCAATTTTTCTATGCTATTATTATTTATTATTGGCAACAAAGAGTCTGACCAAAGTTTCGCTGAAAAATGCCATGAAAACAAACGCAACAATAGCAATAAAAAGCATAAAGAAAATATTATATTTTCTATACATATATAAAGGTATGTACAATTTCCGCACATATATTCGAGCACACTTTTGCATGGCAAAAGTTTGAAGAACTTTTCTTCCAGGCCGGCCACTCCCACTACCACTCCCAACATTGCCGCCCACCTGCAGCCGCTGCCCCGGCCACGCCCCTTTTTCCCACCAGCGAGCCTTGCAAATTGTTGAATAATTGCAGTTGTTCCTTTGCCTCAATTGTTGTTGTTGCTGTCGTGTGGCAGCTTTTCCATTTTTCCACGTCGGCATCGCGATTTTGCATGCAAATTTCGCAACATTTTAAAAGTGCTGAAGTCGTGTCACGAGTCTATTTACTATTTACCCATTTTCCTCATGTACTGATTCATTTCGTTGCAAGTAAGACTGGTTTAGGACAAATAATGTGACCGCTTCTGAAATATTTATTTCTGTCTCATTAATTACAATATTATATCACTTCTATAATTATTGTAACAATGCAAACATCGTTAGCGTAATGAATACCGTGTTACGATAACGCTTTATCGTAACCAATGTGACCATGTTTGCAAACG